TACAACAAAGAATCATGAAGAGAAATTACAAAATTTGTCGTAAATTTACTTCTTATAAATTGTAACGTTACAAATCAATATCGTAATCATAATTTATAAAATTTGTCGTAAATTTACGAACATTTTATTCACAGTGTAAGAAGTGGTCACCTGGCCACCACCACGTTTTTGTATTTTGATTTTATATTATTTTAACGATGTAATGACGTGGTTTATTTTTTGTTTTCTTACGTTAGTGTACTAACGATGAGCGATCGGAATCCACTTTTATTAGGTTTGTTGGAGACCGTTTTTCAGTTTGGGTTGGGTCAAGTTCACAGTGGAATTGGCCGCCCAAAATCGCTTTTTTAAAAAGTGGTTGCGGATAGTGTTTAGATCAGAATGATTAGGTCTACTAACGTCTACTAACGATGCATGGGGTTCTGTTTGTTCCTAGTTGTTGTTGGGCGGTCAACTTCACAGAGGTCGTCATTTCGACCTCGTTGGTCAGGGTCACAAATACGTCGAGACGATGAATTCTCTGGCGAGTCAATGTCGACACGACGAATATCGATTAAGCGTGTCTTGCTGGGTCCCATCTTCAAGCACCTATCTATCTCAATCCACTCTGTAATTGTTCTGTCTACAGAAAGGCGCTAAACTTTTCCGATTACCCCAGCCTAGACAACACGATTTGAAATCAAGTGCCGTCTGTGTCAAAATTTAGTTATTCAGGGCCTGATTTGGCCTCATTTTGACACCACGTGATATTACATGGTGCCATATTGACATCACAGCAGGCCACTTAAGAAACGTCAACATTCGGACACCCACATCACTTTGATGCCATTTTGACAAAAACGTGTTCTTTATGGGAACGGAGAAGTAGGCTTTGATTTCACTCAGCTAAATACGACAGAGAAAAAGGGGTGCTTCCATACCTGTCCAGGTATCAGTGGCACTTAGTGCAGACCTATGGTAAAGCGCTGGAACACTGTGCTGGAGGCACTGTAAAAGCAATCACTAGGAGAAGACCTTCTCCCGTGCTGCGCTGATGAGTTGATTGTTCAACAACAATTGCTATCTGGCTTGGGCGAGAAGGTAGGTTTGCACGAAAGCCGAGTTTCCTGTGCACGAATAGCTATGCCTGTCACGGTATCATCCATCTCAGTAATTCCGTCAGTGAGTAGTAAGACTTATACCAGCCAACAGACCCAGCGCATCTTCTGTTATGCCCACTTGGGTGAAACAAACGGGTTAATATAAAATATTTTTGCAAAGGGTTATACTTTAAGAACCTACTCTAATACAGACAAACCCAAAAATATAATAAATATAATGAATAATGAATTGTTTTAATTGTCGTAGGTTGTTCTCGTCCAGTTTTTGAGCCTTTGAAACCTCTCTGTCTTCTCTGCAAAGATGATGCTGTCGTCGTGTGCGCATGGCTCACCATTACATATATTCGTTGGTTTTATCATAACTTGTAATGGAGGATGTGCATTTACTGCAAAGACGGCAAGTAATTCTATCCAAGCCCACAGATTTTTACAATAATTCGAAACAATGCACAATGTTGAAGGTGTACTTAATTTTTCAGCGAACTTGTGTTTTGTGAGTTCTTATGTGTACCCTTCCTCCTTAAAAATGCAATAAAGCGAGCTTTAGAGTCCAGTGTCGCGAGGTGGGAGAAGCAGTTAGACGTTTGTCTGCCCGGCTCTAAAAGATAGCCGTTTGTCTGCCACGCTCAGAAAGATAGCCGCTTGTACGTAGGGAAGGTCGAGATGTGTGCACAGCGTGTTGCAGCTTAACAGTGTTTTGTGAGATATTGCGAAGCCTGTTAAAGATGTATAGTCCTTAGGGTCGATTATTTACACATGCGATATTTTGTACTGAAAGTATTCTTTGAACCTTCGTACATACAACAGTGCACTCGAAAAGTTCTGTTCATTAACTCGTTTCCGAGATATTTGCTTTTAAAGTTAGGTCTGCACTGCACAGACTAATTTGTGAGGATTATCGCGAGAGGGTTGAAAAACTTATCCACAGATTCGTCTTTTGATTCTGCGTCGATAGGACTCGAGAAAAGTCTAGCTCTATGGTAAAATAAGAAAGAAATTAAAGTTAGAAGTTCACCAAAGGGCGCTGAGCGGCGGTGGGCGCCATTACAGGGAGGGGGGCCGCCGGGCGAGATTTCCTGCAGGAGGGTGCTGGCGGCGTGCGCGCGCCCTTCAAATCGTCATTTCTTGCGTAATGCAAAGATGGGCAAAGAGGAGGGCAGATCATGGTGATTTTACCTTCAGATTTAGTAAATAGGATTGATATTGTCCTGCACCGCAACCCATCTCGCTCCTGCCCGGGGACAATAGGGCTTATGGCTTATCCGGGGTTCTTATTATGGGTGGGGCAGCCCTAGGGGCCTAAGCGTCAGTACCTTTCCCCAGAGCTCTGATTATGACAGAAGCGGGCTTCCCATGGGGTGCTGATTATACAACATCGGTAGGCCCTAGTTGCAGCTTGGGTAACAGCCAGATAAAGTTCATTGACCTGATATTTAAAAATTATACTGTACTGGCTTAATTCTTTTTGGATGGTTCTAAATCGATTTTTTTTTCTGCTTTAACAAAAATGTTTTTGTTATGTTGCATAGAAACTGTTTGACACAGCTTTCCTGATATTAGGAAAGCATTCTGAGGAAAGAATTATCATTTTATGAAATTTCAGTAACGTCGCATAGAAACTTTTTGACACCTCTTTTGTGGACATATTAGAACAGTATTTTGAGGAGGGTGTGTTGAGGGAGTGAGAGTTTGAAATGTAATACACAAGTAATATAAGAGTAGCGTCTTTGATTGAAAAACAAGTGCTTTATTGACAAATTCTTTGAGAATTGTCAAGTTAGAGTACACATATATTTAGGAAACGTATCAGACGTTGTTGAACAAATAATGATACTGAAGGTGCGATGAGCCACTTCATTTGGCCTTGAGTCCTTGTAGATATCCTGTTCATAGAAAAAAATGTAAGGCACGTAATAGCCAACTTTATGGTAAATGATAGGGACAGGGGTGGAGAGTGGCCCAATTTATGCACTGTCAATTACGATCACAGACTAATAAAGTAAAAGTCAGTCATAGCATCTATAATGCAAGTTTTTTTTAAATAGGCAGAATCAAAATCTTATCACATAATAGAAGCATAAAAAAAAATCCTGACAAAAAAATAATACATCAAAGAGAATATATAGAATCTTGTAATAAAACTCAGTCTTAGAAATCACAATACTTTGGTATAAGAAAGTCAGTAGTCATGCATATCAACACAAACAAGCTGGGCCCGCTCTTCCGCCAAACCAAGTTGCCAGCTCCACTTCGCTCCACCGGCAACTCGGTTCGGCAGGGAGCGGGCCCAGCTTGGCCTGCCGGCGGCGTTTGGGACGGGCCTTCGGCCCGTCCCCTCTGAATTTTCATGGTGTAATACATTTTCTGTCCGAAAACGGGCCTTCGGCCCGTTAGAGTGATGGCTCGCTTTGGACCATCTTTTTGCCAGGTACCTTTTCTGTCTACTCCGTAAGCAAAACCCAACAAACGAAGTATTCTTTTCATACGCTGAACATCTTTGGCTGTGTGTGCCGCAGTTTGTAGAATACATGCAAGTTATGCCAAATCCCTTATAAGTTATTGATGTTAGCTTATGAATCAAATAACACACCTATAGAAAGATACATAAGACTAGCCCTAAAAGAAGTTAAGTATACTTCCAGGCATACTCTGAATGACTCCGAACGTGTTCGAACAACAAATAAATGTTTTTTT